CTCGACCGGTGCGGTACTCACATACGTCTGGATTTCTGCAATCCACAACAACAGACTTTCTTCTTTCTTGTTGCAAAACGTAAACGACAACTTCATCTTCACCTTTTCTTTCTTCTTCGGTTTAGTTCCTTTAGGAGTAGACGTAGAAGAATGAGAAGAGTGAGGAGTAGATGGTGGACTTGATCCATTTCCATTGGATCCATTTGCATTAGTTGTTGTCTTTATCACACGACCAGCAGACTTTATTGCGTCCCCCATCAACTTCTTTACTTCTTTCTTCTCCTTCTTCTCTTCTTGTTCTTCTTCCCCCTGAATCTGATTCTTACCTTTCACAATATTAGCAATTCTTCTCAATCCAACAGTGATTTCATCCAACTGATTTTGTTGTCTATCAATCTTCTCCTCTAGAAAGGTAAGATATGTCACAATATGAGCCAACGTTTGTGACATGTCAGTCTGTTCACCGACTTCAGTTCCTAAGACTTGTCTGATCTCTTTAACCTTTTGTCCCCTTCGCTGTTCCTGTTCTCTTCTTCTAACTAATTCTTCCTTCTTCCTTTCTTCGGCAGCCAGAGTATCTCTGAGCTGCTGGATGTTAGCATCAATCGTTTCCTCACTTACTTCTGGTTTCACCTCCCCTTTACGAGTAGCTTCCATAATCTCTTCCAGTTGCTTCAAAGCAAGCTGGTCTAGAGCCTGTCGCCCCTGAGYAATCAGTTTGGAGGCCTCTGTACCGGCTGCCACAACCTCCACGGCCGTGATAGACTTCTTCAGGCAGTGTTCAACCCCCTGAAGATCGAAATTATCATGGATGTGTTGCTCAGCATCCGGTCCAGATAGTTGTACCTCAATCAGAAACTGATTCCACAAAGCCAACAGTTCTTCTCTCTTCTTATCAGCCTGTCCCCTTGTCCTGAGTTCAGACGGTCCCTCCCCAACGGAAAGTGCAATTGGAATAGGGAACAAGAAAGTGGTCACAAATCTCGTCAAGACAGACTGTTGCAAAGATTTCCAGAAGTAAGACATTTTGGGAGAACAAAAACAGGAAAATTCGTTGGCCAGATTATCCTACCGCAAAATAAACAATCAGCGCACTGTTCTACCGCAAGAGACAATAATTTCACGGTCACCTGTCTCAACACTCTGTTTGAGTCAAAAAGAATAATAATAATAAGGAACATAAGTTTTCTAATTTCTATTTGCTGTTCTGTTTTCAATGTGATGACATCCTAGACTATCTCAGGTACCGCAACTCCAGGCCAGCATGATCAACAACAAACACAAGTGAGTACACAGGTACACAACACAGCCAAACAACAGGTAAGTCCGCCAACACAATCAATAGTTAGCGTTTTCCCCTTCTTGCTGTTTCGTCCTTCTTTGTCCTGTGTGACCAGCACACAATCTGACGTTCGGCACCACAGCCACGTCAGTCTTCTTGCCGTGCCGCTTCAGTCATCAGAATGCTGTCCTCACTTAGGCACGATCGTGCCTGCCACGTGTCACCCCTGGCCTGCCAACTCAGCAACTCTATGAGTATGCCAGGTCAGCAGGTCTAATCAATATCATCAATGGGGTGCACGTCAGCAATGTATGCTGAAATCAAAGTACCAGCCTGCCCCGAAGTCGAAGTTCCAACCTACCACGTGTATCCCCTGGAGTGCCAACACAGCAGCACTTCTGTCTGTCACGTCAGCACCATAATCCAGTCAACATCATCGAGGGGGTACACGTCAGGAACGGTACCAACGCGCCACGTAAGCCGGGTAACTGAATATGACACTGCCACGTCAGCCTCTTATCTCACCGAATGGTGAGTCAGCAATGCCACATCCTCAATCTGCTAACATCCACCGACCACGTCAGCGATACTGCACACTCCAAATATCAATGCCACGTGGATGCCACGTCAGCATATGACGTGCGCTATTATCAATGCCACGTCAATGCCACATCAGCATCGGACATGTGGACCAAGGCAACGTCAATGCCACCTCAATGCCATGTCAGCATCGGGCATGTATACCAAGGCCACGTCAATGCCTCGTTAATGCCACGTCAGAATCTGACGTGCGCTCTCTTGTCTACGTCAGCCACTTCAATGTAGATGCCACCAATTGTCGTTGTCGTCTCTGTCACACTATCAGAAGATCTGCTCCGATACCAAATTGCAATGAGCCCAGATGCGATGATACTCGTCAACATTACCAGTCCATATGATTATCGATCTGCTGATGAATGACAAACAATCGCAAATGTGTGTGATGATAGAATGAGATGAGAATCATACACAGACAAAGGAGGAGAGAGGGAGAATARACAAAGGAGAGRGAWGAAGACAACAGCYCACTTCTACTTCGGGTTCCTCCTCCTCCTYGCCACCTCATCAATCAATAGACTGAWTACAATGTCTGAAGTTCTTCCTCAAGGTGCCACGTGGCACGTCAATCTGTCTACATCAGCAAATGGAGAGTATCGTCATCAACCAGGTACGTATCCTCGATAACCACAGTCTTGATCCCCTTCCGAAGTGACGAAGAATCAGAACAGCCTCATCAATCWCGCAGCCCRCCACRTCATCAATCATATACAGGTGGCAGCGRCCACRTCAGCAAYGGCRCGTGGYAGCTGCCACGTCAGCATGCCCAGARGACCATCGCCAGCCAGCACCTTGCCAGCCAGCAGCGCCTTGCCGTCCTCCTCTGCCAGCATAGAGCCGGCGTCAAGCCAATGTCGCAATGTCGCAGCATAGCAACAGCGTCAAAGTCCACGCGTGAAGTCAGCATTCACGCAAGACTGAATGTTCTCCAGCCAGGAAGTCAATTCTTAAGTAGCGTGGATGCGGGGTCTGGACCCCGGGTGCTGAAGTACTGCACCGTCCAGATCTCGATGTGGAGGAGGGCCCAGATTGGCCAGAAACTGTATTCCTCCCGCCCTGAATGCTGTCTGGATACCTGCACACAACAAGTGAATGTATCCGACCATTGGCCTGGGCGCGGTACCTTTGACTCTACAGTTGACTTTGACTGTTGAATTTCTTTTGTGCTGCGTTCGGTCACACAGCCTCCTCGGCAGACTCAGGCTGGGCATGTCTCGGTCACATAGCCCAGCACAGACAACTGAGTCTGTGCTTTACCGGGGGCAACGTTCTGAGCCCCGGTCTGCTGCTGAACAGGGTTACTGCACACTCCTCGTATATACGGCTAAACACGAACGCCATCTAACTCAGTAATGACATGCCCACGTTTTAAAAAAAAAAAGAAAAAAAAAAAAAAGATCTCCACTTTCCGAAACTTGCTCTTCTTGGCGTTGATCTTCTACACCCCTCTCCCCAACACCTCAAAGACCGTCAACGATGCTCCGTGCACTCCTCGTATATACGGCTGAAAACAAGGATATCATCGAACTCAGTTATAGCACAAACTGCTCCAGATTGTCGACTAGGAGATCATTCATACCCCGTGGACTGTTGCAGACGCATAGCTCAAACAGAGTCTGATAGCAAACTCTAAACTGTCATATCTGCTTTTCAACGCCGTTCTGCGCTGCTCTTCAGGTTCCGCCTCAATCTGCTGGTATCCACTCTTCAAATCGATGTCAGAAAAAAAAATATATGTAGCCCTGCACTCTATCCAACAGTCGTCTATCCGTTGCAGCCGCTCCACGTTCTTAATTACAATCCTATTCAGTTTGTGGCGATCAATGTGCATGTCGATTCCACCATCCTTCTCTTTCGGCAAAGAGTATTGGTGCCCCGTAAGGTGAGGTACTTGGCCTGATCCCAATTTCTTCAGTCAGCTCTTCCAGCTGCTTCTTCAACTCTTCAAGGTCTTGTGGAGACATCTAATGTACTTCCCCTTTACGAGATACAGCACCCAATACCATATGAATGGGACACTTGACCTTCTTTTTTTCTTTTTCTTTTTTTGAAGTTTTTTCCCACTTGACCTCTTTCTAAGTTTTTTCTTTTTCTTTTTAATTCGGTAAATGGA